TTTTTCTTTATTCTTATTCCTTTTGGAAGGGGGTGGGGGTGGGGGTGGGGGTGGGGAGGGGGCAACTATGCAATTGTAATTATCCTTGAAAATTTGCTTCATTTTCATTGGTGGGGGGAAGTTTTGATCTTCTTAGGTTTTAACTTGAAAAGTGAAGTTAAGTGTGGATTTGCTTTTTATGAAATCGATAAATTCATTGATGATTTTTTTTTTTTGGGAGATATTCCTTTTGTCTATATTATAGCTTAAATACATATGTGTATGTTGTTGGGCCAAAGGAGAACAAGTAATTGATGGCCTAATAAGAATATAAGATAAATAAACAAAAATTCTATGGAGTCATCAGATGATTTTATCTTGTGGACCATCGATCGGTTAATGTATTGACATCTGTTTAAATGTATTTGTTGTAGAACATGTGTCAATACACTATTTGTGAATAACTATGGATGAGTATTCCATAAGCCGAGTCATCCGATGGCTCCATAGCGTGTGTAATACAACACGCGCACATCTCTCTATTGATCTCTCTCTCTCTCTCAGTTTCCTGTTCGAGCTTTATCTTCTTCTTGTTGCTCCACCGATACAAGTTGAAGAGAGGTGTAAGAGTAATATAGTACAAGATCCCGAAGGTAACTGAGACATCGTGATCATCTACTGGAGCCGACGAACCACGCCCGCAGGCCGAGGATCGCTGACCCCAGCCCAACCGCCGACCGCCGCGAGCAGCCGAAGGACCGCCGCACCCATTCATTGAGAAGTCCAACCAACATAACGTCTAATTTGGGAAAAAGCTATCAAGCCATCGAGTCAATGTTATTCAAGTCAAATCCACCTTTCAATATGATCAAAGAAACAAGTCCTCCAAGAAGTCTTCTTCAATCAAGTCAAGTTCTAACATTTAATATGAGAATAAGTCATTTGACCCCTCAAATTTATGTTAGAGAAATTCAAGGCCAAGCACAAACTACGAAGAGAAGAATCAGAGGAGACATATGGAGAATGTACTCGCAAAATCATTTAATCGAAATAAAGCAAATTAGTTGTACAAGAGTTTTATGGTTTTCATAAAATTTGTTGTTATAAATTTGGCATGCCCAGTGGGACTTCATGTAAAATTCATTGTTACAAATTTGACACGCTCGGGGGTACACTAAATAAAATTCATTGTCACGAATATGGCACGCCAAGTGGGACTTCAAATATAATTTATTGTTGAGACTCGTTCACTACCAAACTATTTTGTCCGTTAACAAGTCTCAACATGTACAAAAATGGTAACAACACCACAGACGAAACCAACTGATGTGCATTTGCACCTCGAGATGGCTCTCCACAACCCCTTGACCGATTTGTTCTCCAGAAACACGCAAAGACGCTGGAAGATGTTCCCCACGTTAAACTTTCAAAATCACGTCAGTAAAGTAATATAAAAAGTTGTATGAGATAATCTACTAAAAGCATAAAATGTATAAAGTGTGATTAGCCTTTAACGTCTCCAAGTTTTACCTATTTATAGAAGATTATTGGCTTCCTGAACAAGCCTCTGTTCTGCCTGATTGCCCGAGGCCTGCCTAATTGTCCTGATTACCCAAAAGGACTGCCCAACAATTATTAGTCTACCCGTATATCTGCCCCTCAGTTATTTAGTTCTACTCTCGTCTGTCAGATTCATCTACATATCTTTTTTATTTGTGATGTTAACAACATGGACTCGACCTACTATGTTGGTCGATCCGTTTCCTATTTGAGCTAATTACCATATTATCAACCCGGACTATCATATGTCCGAGCTGTTGCAAAACTTATTTGTCCGAGCTCCTCAATATCCGAACTACAGTCATTCCTAAATTGTCCGAGCTCCTTAATGCCCGAGCTATAAATATACCTAAGTCGTTTGAGCTCTATAGTGTCTGAGCTAGAGACGTGTCTTAGCTATCCGAGCTACATGAGCCCTTATACAGTGGCAGATCTACATAGGGGCCCGTAGGGGCACGGGCGCTGGTAGAATTTTGTGTAATAAAATATATATGTTATATATATATGTGTGCGTGTGTGTGTGTTATATGTATAAATGTATTATTATCTTGACGTAAAAAAATACATGTTATTAATTATTATGCAAAGTTATTTCAATATAAAAATAAAAAAAAAAATGTTTAAAATTATTTAACATTCAGTAGTATATTATTTTTTAAGTTGTGGAATTTATATTTATGCTATACTCAACTTCTCATTTATTTCCTTTTCTCTCCCAAAATTGAAAAAACATAAAAAAAAAATATTATACATAAATGTATATACCATATAGGGGTTGAACCAAATGTGTCTCTATTCTTAAAGGGGAATGAGAGACTCAACTCTATATGTTAAATAAGAAACAAGATGTTTGGTCAAAATTTTTAATCTTTATATTTTTTAGTTGGTTAAATATTGATTTGACTTCTCGTCTTGATCGTTGGCTGTAGTTTGTGCCCCTATTGTCCTTAAAGTCTGCGTCCGCCCCTGCCCTCGTACTCTTAGACCAACCAATCTAGCTAGTCTTCATTCTACAAATCAAGCTGACCGTGGCGGTTCTCCCAAGCTATCTTATGTGTTGCATCAAATAGAATAACACTGCACATTTTTTCCATGTGTTTGCATGTGGAATCAAATGAATTAATATATACTTGACATTCAGTGGGGAAAATAAAGTAAAGTAAAAGAAAATAACAATCTTTCGTGACTTTTTATTTTGCCTAGCGCATAAACACAGACAGATTTCAATTTGGAAAAAAATGAGAGGGACAAAACAAACCCAGAAATATAAAATGTTGGATGGTAGCCATACATATAGTATCCAATTCGATTGAAGTATATATGGACACGCAATCAACACTGCCTTTTCAAGTATAAATAAATAAACTCGCATTATGACATACAAACATGCACACATACACTGATTAGAAGAAAAAAAGAAGATAAAAAATAAACATGGAATAAACTGGAAATTTTAATTTTGTTTTATATGATATTTACTTAATGGTTTCGATAAGAAATTTGTGTAAAAAACGGGGAAAACGGGCGCGGTCCCACTCACGTGATGAAACGTACCATAACAGAGTGAGTCTAAATGTGTCTTACTGAAGTTCCATCTCAAAACCAATTGGTTGATGAGAGGAGTATCTCAATAGGCTTATGAGTTATGTCTTTTTTTTTTTTCTGTATAAACGATGTGGGACAACTCACAAGTGATATTATATTCTAATAAATAGAAAACTATATAATGATGTTATGCTGTTTTACTTTAAAGTTTAATATTGTTTACGTCATTTATACATCAGATTTTATTATTTTTGCCAATTTGAGATCGATCATGAACTTGTTTAGTAAATTAAACGAGCCAAATACTTGAATTATCGAGTTCAATTCGACTCGTTTAACAAACAAGATCTGATTTGTGTGTTGGCAAACAAGCTCCATTCAAATTAATAAGAACTCAAATAAGGAATCCCAATCCTTTTTCGGGTCCAGAAAATTCATTCAATTTCTTTCAAAAATTAGAGCAGTTTTGCTTAGCTCGACTTATAAAAAATGTAGCATAATTTAAAAAACAAAAAATGTATCTGACTATCTGTATGCAAATATTTCATCCCACATCGGATAATAATATAAAATAACTAAAGCAGGAAAAAAGTGGAAGATGCTTAATTAGCTTGATAGATTATTATTATTATTTTTTTTTGTAGTCAGCCACGGTACCCGGAGCTATGCCCTGACTAATCCGTTAGTCGACTCGGGTCGCACACTTGGCAGTGGTGGGTGAGTCTCCCAACAAAGATTTTCTGTATCTACAAGGACTCGAACCCGAGACCTTGCTTAAGCGACATCAAACTGCTTACCGCTTGAGTCAACCCTGTTGGTTGATAGACTATTATTTAATGTAAAATATGATTGTGAACTGCCATGCAAGTTTCAGTTTGCTTGTAAGAAAGTCAAGCATACTTTTGACTGTATACACCACAACCATCTAAACTTTGACTTGACTTAAAAGATTCGAAGTATGCCTCTAACCATATATATGAACAGATTGTTAGGTATATATGCATAATAACTTCATAAATTTAAAAGATTACTACAATCTCGTTTTTGTACGTTTCGTGGGCCCGACTTGCCCGACTTATAATTTGTTCGTATGTAGCATATACTATAAGATTAATTAACATATTAAAATTAATAAAAAAATCAGCAAAATGTAATACATTATGTACTTTTAAATTATGCAACCTCTTAGTATGTTTCTCGATAAAACACAAACTTCAACTTCATAAAAATAAAAATTTATGAGTTGCAACATATAGTGTATATTGATCATAGTCATCCGACACGGACAAGACGATGTGTTTTGTTTTCTCCGTTTTCTGACGCCGACAGCGAGACGGGAGGCAGGCGGTGGACGGAGACATCGTGTGTATTGTTGTGTGTGTGTGTGTGTATGTGCACGGTGGCAGGAATTTTATTTTCTGTTTCTTTTTTCTTTTTCTTTTTTTAATAAGGGGACTTGTTGGTTGGAAATTAGACATTTTAGAAAGACTCTGGTGCAATTCTAGAATCTTACTATGTTGCATTATAACATGTGTTGCGATTTTGTAATTTATTAAACTTTCACTATACTGCACATTAGTAATTAGTACTAATAAACTTTCAATATACTACACATTAATGATATGTGAGATGCATAATATTTATTTATGGGATGTCATGTATAATATGCATGATAATTAATTAGTTGCTTATTTTTTCATAAGATTGATTATGTCAATTAATTATTGTTTTTTTTGGTGCAATCAATTAATTATTGTTTTATTTGCATAGTAACAAATTATGAAAAATGCATATTAAACCAATAATAAAATGTTTAAATATAAATGAAAAAAAGTTTTAAAAGGACGTAGTTTGTTGGTACTGAATACACACTAGTTTAATTAAATGATCATATTTGTAGTTTATAAGAATAAAATATATATATATGAAAATTTGCAGGACTATAATTCCAATATTAGAAATCTGTTCTCACGTGTCGATTCCTTAATTTGAATTTGATTGTAAGATTGTAACGGACAAATTCAATGTGGCACGTGCATGCGGTATAAGCAGTGATTTTTCAACTTTGTTATTCCACGAAGTTGGCTGGTTCTCGTCTGATTGGATATAAAATTTTTTAGATTTGTTTGAATTTTTTGAATTTGTTTCGTTAATTTTGAAAAAAGTGGTATAGTTAGTTGTTAGAGTATATTAAAATAATATTTAAAAATAATAATTAAAATTGATTTGATATAAAAGTATAAGAGAGATGATTTGGAGTATTGATTAGTTAAAATTATGTAAGTGAATGAATAGTGAATTAAAGTTGATGTGATGTGTATAAATGATTAGATGATATTATTTAATTATATTAATAATATTAATGATAATAAGGTTGAGTTAAAATTGAGTT